AATAAATTTTCTCTATTCAAATGTTAATTCACACACTAATTGACAGAATGTTTCAAGTAATTCCTTTTCAGTTCCATTTAGTAGTTTTATTTTCATAAGCTGGGTGTCATCTGAACTAGGCTTGAATACTTTCTGTGGGTTGATGCCTACATTAGAACTCATAGTTTAGATTACCTTTAAATTCAGAAATAAGCACTCTCACTTTAGAATATTTACATAGAAGCTATTTTCTAGTTTTCTCCACTGACCTAAAGGGAAGTCCAGCTCAGGCATAGCTAAATATTCTGTATGTATAAAGATGTACATAGATCTATAAAGCTGAGTGATAGGTATCCCCATCCAGTTACTGGTATTTTGTCTGGTTTGCTGTTATTTCCATTAGATAATTTTTCGTAACCCACGTGTCTAAACTTTTTAAAACACTGAATTAATTTTTAACACAACACTTCAGCCATTTCTTTATAGTCCTTGAAATGTACCCTTGTCTCTGGGTGCCCTTGGAAGCTCTATTTACTTCTTTGTTCTTAGTTACTCGTGCCTTAGAAAAGGCAAATAAATTTGGAGAAGGAACTTCTCTTTGTGTAAGCTTGCTCTTCAAATATTTTGGCTAGTGTCCCTTGAGATTTTTGTGTACAGAGAACTCAAGTTTAGACAGTAAAGGTTAATCATCTAGTCAAAGCTTATTCAAGCCTGTTGTCTATAGCTTCCACTAATGCTAAAGCTTCCCCTATTGCCAAAAGAGAGAAACAGGTGCGTCCACAGCTTGATTCTTCTACCCCCACCATACCTGTTCAAAAAAGGAGAAAAACAGTCCCTTAGAGGTATCTGTCTTTGTTAAAGGAATCAAGCTAGCAAGAAAATAATAAGGAAAAAAAAAGATACTTTTGTCCACAATAATGGAAAGGAAAATTTCAAAATTATATGTCACTGTGGTCAACCATGTGATGGATGTGTGATCTTGTCTGACCTAACTGACCTTATATTTAAATTATTATTTTCATTCTGGTTTTATGTGTATCCATCAATGATTTAGATGTAACAGATCTAAACTTATGAAATAACTTCATAATAATCAAACATATTGTCAACTGAAAGGTATGCTACATGCTATCAAAAATTGTTTAGTTGAAATAACAATTATTACTGCTCTAAGTAAATGTCTTTTCAAAAGAGACTAACAAAAGCCTAAGCTAAGAGTGAAGATGCTGGAGCTACTTTTGTAGCCAGTGAGATGGGAAGATTTTTGATTCCCCTGAAATCTGAAGAATCTCTGGAACTGTCTCTTGGTTGATGAAAAACAGAAAGTCTAGAATGTAGACACATTAAATACAGGCTTCCTGTTAGCAGACTTACTTTCTAGAAGAGCTAACTGTATTCATAAGCCCTTATTACTATATGCTATGTAGTCAAAAAAAGAGGAAACAACTATTTTTAGTCCAATTCTATCACTACCTTTAGCAAAGCTCAGACTTCACAAACCACAATACACATACCTTGTAATACTGTGATTAAGGTCAGGTTTGTTTTTTGGAATTCAGATTTCTTGAACACATTGTCAAAATAATTGAACATGTTTTCTACTCAACTAATTTTTCAGTAGTCTCTTGGTAATCAATACATCACTGGCCTTTCAGCTCACTGGTTCTAAGGGTATTCTCCTTAGCATGTTGCTTATATATACTTTAATAAGTGTGCATAAAACCGCTAGGGATTTAATTTCTAGAGTCTTGGATCTTCACAGCAGACATCTGAACCTCAAATGAGATATTTTTCCCCTGTGCCATTTGTCTTTGCCTGCAGAAGAAGAAAAACCAAGAGTAAAACACAAACAATAAAGTCTAATGCTGCTTCTGTGTCTTTTTTACCCCTGCTTTTTCACTATTTCTTTTACAGAACTCTTCCTGCTCCTTGTAGGTCTCTTTCTGCTAAGCAAAACATCGTGGACCTAATCAAAACCCTGTTAGCCATTACAATCTGTTTCCTTCCAGATTATGGAAATAGAACCAACACCCTTGCCTTCTACCCAACCAATATGTTTCTTTTCTCTAACCAAAACCAACTTTCCTCTTCTCTGACTGAGAGGGAAAGTGTACTCACCACCTAAAGCTTAGAAACGTGATTCACATTGGTGTCCAGCCTCTAATGGAAAACTGGTCTGGAATCCAGAAACCACTCCAGGAAGAAAAGAGGCATCTCACAACTCCTGTGTGGGTATCTCAGACACCCTAGGACATGCTGCTGTTTTTCAACAAGCAAACTTGCATTCTTCTCAACACAGGAGAATCACATTTATTTACAGCAGACTATATTAAATTTTTGTTGTTTTGGTCTGTAGTTTTAAATAAATCTACATGAAATAGATGTTTCTCTTCTTGATATAAAAACTTCTCAAATTTTGTGACTCATGATAGATCAATTTCTTCTAAAACCAGACTATTTTACATTTGCATACATTCCCATCAGCCCCCAGAGGCAGAAAGCAAGATTAAGAGAGATAGTAAGGGTCTCAAAATCTAAAATTGAACTTCCAGTCTTACCTACATTACTTGTGGGAAGTGACTTATTTACACCTAACACTGAATTTACAAAAGTGTTTATTAGGAAGGCTGTCAGACATAAACTTTTAGATGCAAGAGATAACTTGTATTCTCGAAAAGATTGTATTTTTATAAGACTTTTCTGTGTTTTCTCTTTTCCTAAGAACACTTAGAAACCTCTGTTATCTAATGACACCATTATTAGTGTACCTAAACCCCATAATAATTGGATGATAATCCTCTTCACAGTGTATTTGAAAGCTTTTCTTGACATTAATTTCACAACAATCACCTTCAGATCAGTGCCCTAAACCCGGTGTCAATGTGTGTAGCCAAATCACTGTATTAAAGGAACTTCACACCTTGCAAAATTTAATACTTCAATGGAAAACTCACTATGGAGTACTGAAATGCTATCATTTGCACTTTATAAACAAAAAACTGAAATAAGAGAAGAAATAGATTAGGTGATTATTGGTGTATAAATAATTTAATATACTGTAATAAGAACAAAGTGACCTGACACTGTACTGATTTTGGCTTGGATAGAGTTAAATTACTTCATAGTAGCTTATATGGGGCTAAATTCCGGATTTGTGATGAAAACAGTGTTGAGAACACAGGAATGTTTTACCTATTGCTGAACGACTCTGGCACAGTGTCAAGGCCTTTTCTACTTCTTGTACAACTCTGCCAGCGAGGACACTGGAGGTGGGCAAGAAGTTGTGAGGGAACACAACTGGGACAGCTGACTCCAACTGACCAAAGGGATATTCTAGACCATATAGCATCATGCTCAGCAATAAAAACTGGAGGAAAGAAAGAGAATGAAGGGATGTTTGGAGTGATTGCATTTGTCTTTCTAAGTAACTGTTATTCATGATTCCTGTTTTCCTGGAGATGGCTGAACATAAAGGCATATGTTATAGATAAATAGAATAAATATCCTTTAGGGTGATAATCCGTATGCATGAATGGTAAAGGAGCCTAGGGTAGTTTGCCTAGATGTCTAAATAGACATTAGACTTCAATGTCTAATTTTTAGGTATTTTTAAAGGAATCTATATCTACCTGTATCTGTAGCTGTTGATCTTTAATGCAGATCTAAAGAATTACTGGATTTTTTTTGCTCCTTTCCAATGGTTCATATTGCAATGTATATTCATATTGTGTCAGTTACCTATTTTCTCATCACAGATTTTCTGCTAATACTTGTAATACAGCCAGCACCCTACATTTCTGGTGATAGCTCCCCATTATGGTTAACTTCAGGCTGTTCTTGACACCTCTCCTTAACCTTGTGCTCAAGTCTTCACAAAGGTCTGATTTGAAACAATTTTATCTCTGGCGATACGTGGCAACAATATGCATAGACAAGTTCTTCCAGCAAGTGTCTTACGGTTTCTTCCCTGGAAAGCTGGATGTTTCATGAACTGCAAAATCTGAAAAGGCCATATGCTAATAAAGAGCATAGAATATCAGAAACTACAGTCTCAGTCATAAACTCAAACCCATATTCAATATGGTCATATAGGGATGCACTTGGCTGACAGATTTATTTGTTTGTTTGTTAGAGAATATTAAATGTTTTGAAACACTGTGATATTCTGAACATGGAGTAGTTTTCTTAGAGGCACCATTTCACCAGATGATAAGTGTTTAACTCAGTCTTTCCAGACTCGTGCATAAGATCATGAGTCCTGCTGGAATACTGCTGGATCCAAGGCTCATGCAGTCTGAAGAAAACATTGAAGTGATCTGTCCTTTCAGTTGTATCTGAATTTCTTCGTGGAGCAAATTATTTGGTGTGCAAAAAGGATATTCAGGGGACCAGGGTTCTGTTGACAGAGGCCAAGTGACAGTTGCAGCTGTACCATGCGAGCAGCTTGGGCTACTCACATTATACTTTCTCTACCGCTATTAAAGAAAAGTTGTCTTCTTCAGAGGATGGGTTCATTTTATCCTACACCAGCTATCTAAGAATGTTAAAATTACTCATCCTTTTCCACTACCTATTCATTTCAAGGGACAATAATGGAACCTCAGAGTAAATAAGTCAGATGTAGGTATCTGATTTTTACATGCATTTTGCAAGGTTTACTGGACCTAGTAAACTATCTAGGGAAAACAAATCTGGGGTTCAGTTTCTAGCACTTCCAAAACTTCTCTTGAAAACTGGAGCAGTCATTCAGCTGGAGACTTAAGAATGGGTGACAACATAGATTCTTTGGGGGAAAACAAACAGAAAAAACCCCAATCATCTCAAATCAAAACCATAGTATATACATAGATCTAACTTAGATTTATTAAGCTCTAGTTCAGGAAATATGGGCACTGCATGCATGAATAGGAGAGTTTCACTTTGGCATGGATTAAGGTCTGGACCTCCTGACTTTAGCTCATCAGCACTGCCAGTTATCTCCATGAACAAAACCCCTTCTCCAGGAGTCTGTATTTGATTTCTCAGGTGTGTCTTGTGCAAGTAAAGGTCTTTCCCAGAGCAAACCAGACTTCCTTGTTTCTAAGACAATATATAAGAGGATTCAGGAGTGGCACAACTACTGTGTACAGGACTGATACCAACTTGTTAGCGCTATAGGTATACATGAGCTTAGGATGGGCATAAGTGAAAAGAGTGGTGGAGTAGAACAATAACACTACAGTCAAATGGGAGCTGCAGGTGGAAAAGGCCTTTTGCCTCCCCTGAGAAGAAGGGATCTTCAACACAGTGAACATGATGCAAATATAGGAGGTCACCACAGTGCAAAGAGGTACCATGATGACCAGCAGAGCCAAGATGAAGTCCACAAGCTCAGCCAAAGAGGAATCACTGCAGGAGATATTCAGTAAGGGTGAAATATCACAGAAATAATGATTGATTTCACCTACATCACAGAACGAGAGCTGGGCTATAAAGCTCAGCTTGATAGAAGAAGTGGTCAAACCACACATCCAACAGCCAGCTATCAACTGAGCACAAAACTGATGATTCATGATGAGTGAGTATCTGAGAGGTTTGCATATGGCCAAGAAGCGGTCATAGGCCATAACAGCTAACAGAATATACTCAGTACAAACGAAAGTCACAAAGAAATACAACTGTGTTATGCACCCCTGGAATGAGATATATTTGTCATGAGAGAGGATGTCTATAAGCATCTTTGGCTCAATGACAGAAACATACCAGATCTCTAAGAAAGACAGATTCCCTAGGAAGAAATACATGGGTTTTTGCAGACTGTGATTATTTTGGATTATGAGAATGATAAGGAAGTTTTCGAACACAGTAGATAAATAAGCCAGAAGTAAAGCAGAGAAGAGAAGCAGCTGCAGTTCAGCAGTGGTGGGAAAACCCAGGAGAATGAAATACATGACTTTGGTTTCATTCCTCCCACCCATTCTGTAGAAGAAAGATGAGCTTATCCACCTGCAATAAATTAATACAATGAAACCTAACTACACAGGCTTAAATTCATAGCAATATGTTACACCACCATTTAAAGACATTGTAAAAGTTCAGACACTTTGTTGCTGCATTTTTAGAAACCAATTTTTTGAAATCTATCCGCTCAATTCAGAATTTTTAATTTTAAAAATTAAGGTATACTTTTTACTTTATATTTCATGGAGATAAATAGGCATTCCAAGTCCTATCTCATCTAAGATGCAGATCTAAAATAAGCTAGATGAATACTGTGATATTGTCCATCCAGTATAAAGAAATTATAGGTTATGAGCTTATAGATAGACATTCACACGGCCAATGTTTTATTTTCTACATCTAAACATTTCTGAAGTTATATCATGTATATCCCATGAACTGTGATGGAATTGTGAAGTCCCACAGGGATATATTCAATTTGATATTTAAAAAACCCTCCAAACATATCTGAAGGAGCCCATTAGAGGTTTCTGTGTCTAGCTCTGAGGAGACTTATGTATACATAAAGCTTATTGAGATAAAAGGTCCACATAGCATCTGAGATACAGCATAAGTGCAAGCAAATTCTGGGTCTGGTTTGTTTGCAACTAACTCAGATTAATCCTTCAGAAATAAAAACAGCCCAGCCTGTGCTATTAAAAACAAAACTGTTCTCAACCTTCTGTAGTGGGAATTCAGAGTAGAATCCACTGCCTTAGTTGATCCTAGAGAATATGATCAGTAGGGTACAGAGGAAGTGTAGACTGTTGTGTCAGTTGCATGATTTATACCAACACAGATAAAACGACCACTTTATTTACCTTTGGTGTCTCATGAGATTTTATTAAGAAATTATAGATAGCCTCCCAGTGGAAGCAATCACAGAAAGAGGAGGGATTGTTTCCTCTGTGATTCCACACGGAGTAGAAGTAAGAAACTCTGAAAATGTCTAACATTTTTTTCTGAGATACTGAAGAACGAAATAATACCAGGTAGTGTCTATTGAATTTTGTGGGGCAGAGGAAAATAAAAACATACCCTGAGGCAGAGGATATGACAGTCATCTACCAAAAGCTAATGTAGAAAAATATTTTAGTGTCCTAATCTCAATCCAGAGCCTTAACTTAGTGTTTTCACCTACACTGGAGTTACTTGTACAACTTTCAGATCTATAAATAGCCAAGCTATGCATTTTCTGAATAGTACAATACAGTACAAATATTATGGTGAAATGATTCCGCCAGTAGTGTGAAATACCTCTATTAGAATAGACAGACTCAGTTTCTTAACTTGCCTGATGCTGTATATCTGTCTCCCTTGATGACACTGACATATGGAAACTCCGTTAAGTGCCTGAGTACCTGTTTAAGTACTCACAGTTACTTATAATAATTATCAACTAAAACCCCAGTGTCAAAATGGAGTTTTATACATATATTTACATTTAATTATATGTTAGATATAGGATTCATTTGTACCAATTTAAACACCTAATATGCAAACATTTAAGACTGAGTTCAGCTGCCTAAGCACAGCAGTTCAGTGTCACTTGGGATGTTCTCAATTCTTACTTGTTTCCACTTAAAGGGACTCAAAAAGAGTATAGCCACACGAATCCAGGAAGCAGTTTTGGTAGTGTGGTGGGTTTACCTTAACTGAACACCAGGTTCCCACCAAGACTTCTCTATCGCTCCCCATCTTTGACTCGTCAGGAGAGAGAAAATATAATCAAAGGCTCGTGGGTTGAGATAAGGAAAGGGAGAGAGATACCTCACCAGTTGTCACCATGGGAAAATCAGACTCAGCTTGGGGAAATTAACTGAATTTATTACCAATCAAATCAGAGTAAGATAATGAGAATAATGGAGATGATGGACTCTCTCTGATCTACCACTATAGCCAACAGCTATATACAGTACAGATGGTAAGAATATGGCTAGTCTTTTTTTGTCTGATGAGGAGAATGCTGAGAGGTGACCTAATAGCAGCCTTCAGCAAGTCCAAGGTGAGCTACAAGGATGACGAGATGAACATCTCAGTTGTGGCAGAAACACTAACATAGGGCAAAAGCCACAAACTGCAATTTATCAGGGTACATCAGGAGAAACTGTTTTTATGTGGAGGGGAATGTAGTGATTGGCAAGATCATATCCAGAAAATGATTGAATCTCTATGCTTGAAGGTTCTGGTTCTGTTATCCCAAAGGGGTCTAGATCTACATCTACAACAGGCAAAAGAGTTGAAGGGAAAGAAGCCTTTAATGTAGGGAAAAGAATTACTTCCTATGAAGATAGACAGGGCAGTGGCCTGAAACCAACACCAGAAAAGCTGCAAAACTACTGCCTCCTACAGTGAAAGGACCTGTTTATAAACACATTGTACTTCTATCCTATTTAATGCAGATAATTTTGAGATTTTTTGTATTAAGAAAAGTTCATAAACATTATATATTTTACAACACGGTCTGTCATTTAAGTTTAAAAAGCCTGTTGGTTTTTGTGAGTAATTAGTAAGTCCAGGTAACAAAACAATGTGGGGAGAAGAGACCTGATTCTATGGCATTGAAAGGGGAGTATTGGAACTTCCGTAGGGTGAAAGATATTAAAAGATACTGAGAAAGGGCTGCTGTCTTATAAGGGGTCACATACTAAGGATGTAGTTATCATATAAGATTGCAAAATTAGCAAAACCAAAGCAAACGTTGAAAAAACCATAAGAATTACTTGTTTATTTAGAGGAAGGAAAAGGAGAAAAAAGGAATATAGCAAACAATATCATTAGGGCTATTTCTGGGATCTATGTTCAGCAGCCCTGTACTTAGTCAGTACAGCCTGGTGCAGGACAACAAATGTGTTATTCTGATCATAGGGTGTGTTTGACTTTATTCCACTGTCAGAGATCTGGAGTGATTTCTCTAGTGCTGGTCAGGGAAGAAGGAAGAAACTCCTTCCCAGAGGGCAAACTAAGCTTTTTATCAGACTGCCTCTGGTAGAGATGGACCACATGAGGCTAGAATTGGAACCACAAGCCTTCATACATACTGTGTTCTGTGACCTTCCCTAGTCCCACGATAGGGAGAAGATGAGAATTTTAAGTGTAGGAACCTCTGTGACTGCCTGTATAGATAAGGCAAAACAGCTTCATCCTCTGTGGCTGGACTAAACCTTGAAGGCTTACGTGGCATTTGAAAAGATAAATTGGAAGTGAACACCTGTATATTCACAGTGAGAACTGACATGATCAAATTACAGGTATGGAACAGACAAATGATGTGCACGACGTGCAGCTGTCTTCTGGGTAGTTAAAAGCTTGTGGATTAATTGATCCTCTGTGTGTAACTTCTGTAATGCAATTCAGGCAGAGCCTGACTATTCTAAAAGGGATGGTTGACGAAATGAAATCTAGGCATTCTGGGCCACCTAGCCAGGGGAACTGATTTGCTGTATACAATATTTGATTGTCAAACATTGCCAACCACTGTCAAAATAAAGATGAATGTCTTATTAAAAGGATTTTAAAATAAATGTTGACTTCGCTTAAAGAGAGAATCATATTTGAAAATGCAGAATCATAGCATCTTAACATTGCTGAGGCTGGAAGAGCTGGTCAAGCCTTGCAGTTATATTTGATCTACATGTCAAGGTTTTGGTAGCAGAGGGGCCTCTGCGAAAAGAGACCAGCGGCTACCCCCCTGTCAAACAGCCGGTTTCAGTCAGCTCTGAAACAAGACACACTGCTGCCCAAAACTGTGTGGCAGATTTGAGAGAGAAGAATGAGAAAACTGAGAAAAGCAACCCTGTAGACACCAAGGTCAGTGAAGGGGGCAGATGCCCCATGTGCAGGAGATTCCTCTGCAACCCATGGAGGACCACAGTGGAGCAGACAACTACACTGCAGGTCACAGAGGGCCCTGGGCTGAAGGAGGTGGAGATGCCCCGAAGGAAGGTGCAGCCCATGGAGAGCTTGTGCTGTAGTGTGTAGCTTCTTCTCTTTACACTAGCTGAAGGTACTAAAGAACCGAAGGCTCTCAAAACATCGGTTTGGTGAAGTTTTGGAGCCTTGTGTATTTTTAAAGGAATACTCCCAGTTGAACTTGTGGCTCTGGGACTGGGGTCTTAAGAGTGTATATTGTTATTGTGGATCTCTCTGTGTTTCACTATAAAGTGCTATTTTTCTGACTGTCTCTGTCTAAAGTCTATATTGAGTATTTAGTGAATATAGGACTCTTCTGCAATGGAACACTGGTTCTTTCTTCAAACAAAACAGCAGTGGTGCTGTATTTAGCACCCATTTGACTTGGATGCAAAGATCTCCTCTCTCTTGCTCTTTCCACATGGCCCAGTACTCTGACACTGTTGCTGTCTTGACATGGTCACAGCCAGCACAGCTTCAGGAGAGGAAAATCCTGCTTATCAAACCTAATTTCCTTCTATGACATGATAACCCACCTAGTTCATCAAGGGTAATGTAATATTTTTGGATTTCAGTAAAGCTTTCAATACTGTCACTCCCAGGATCCTTCTGGACAAAGTGTCCAGACCACAACCAGATAAACACATCCTGTGCTGGGTGAGCAATTGGCTCATGGGTTGAGCACAGAGGGTGACAGCGACTGGGGTGACATCAGACTGGCACCTGTCACTAGTTGGGTTCCACCGGGCTCCATCTTGGGCCCTGTGCTCTCCAACATCTTCATCAATGGCTTGGACACAGGACTGGAAGGGACATTGAGCAAGTTTGCTGAAGACACAAAATTGGGAGGAGCTATTGACTCCCTCAAAGGCAGGGAGGCCCTGCAGAGAGTCCTCAACAAATCAGAGGGCTGGGCAATCACCAACCATAGGAAGTTCAACAAGGCAAATTGCCGGATTCTGCACCTAGGATGGGGCAGCCCTGGATGTACAGACATATGGAAATGAGACCTGGGGTTCCTGGTCAGTGGCCAGTTGGCCATGAGTCAGCAGTGCCCTGGCAGCCA